TTCATTACCTGTTAAGGACGCTGGGACCCAGTCATTTAAAATAAAGTGTAATGTCCCACATTTGAAATCCATTAGAATTTTTTTAGAGTTCTAAAACGATGAAGTCTTTTGATACAAAGACGCCGACATTTTGATAGCGGTCTCAACGTTAACCTTGAATTTATGTGCATAATCTGTGTTATTTCATGAATCACTCCATGATTTACGACTCCGTAGTGGTAGGTAAACCTAGGTAAACGACACCTGCGTTTACTGATCAATTTGGAAAATAAACTAACGATTATAAAACCTTGGCTAATGACTCCTGCTACAGGTGTTTGTGTATAGAACCATATGAGGATATTAAATAACTTTTTTTTTATTCAACGTTGTCAAATTTGTTCCTCCGCATAACCATATTTGACATTTAATTCTAACGATGGTAACGTCCTATAAAGGATTTTTTATATTCAAAGAAGGAAGTATGGCAGCAATTTGACAGACTGTTACCTCAAATGCTATAACATCGATAGTTCCATCTAGTTAGACCCACTGATACAACTATCCGGGTTGTATTACGTTCAAATTGTTGCTCCGTCCTCAGTAGAACTCTTCATTCTAGCCGGAAGTATGCAAACATCGTTTCCGGTTATGGACATTCGCACATGCTTAAGAAATCTACAAACCTGATTTTAGACCGTCGATACTGAAAAAATATTTCTCGTTAACAACGATCTCAACCATTTATCATGCTCTTGAGTGCTGGGTGACGAAATGACTTTTAACATACAGAAAACGGTCATAGTTACCATTATCACTAAAAACAACAACAATCCCTACAATCCTCCTAGTTCTCTACTGCACAATCTTCACAAGAAGGAAAAAATAACTGGAAAAGGGGAAGTATGTGTCGTTATTAAGTGTCAGTGGCCTTGAAATGTTTGTGTACAGGAATGAGACGCCATACATCAAGTGTACTGCAAACCTGATTACGCATGCTTTATGTGTGCACTCTCAATGAATGCGTCACTTCCGTTAATGAATAAGATCAGTTAATCTAAGCAGCAATATAAACACGTTTCTAGCAGAAAAAAATCCAGGATAAGAAAAGGAATCTACTTTTTGAAACAAAGTGTAAAGGAGGAGTGAAAAATTCTCCATTTGTTCAGTAAACATTACGGTTAATTAAGACGGATGATCCACACGGTGTCACACCTATAAAACAATTAGAATTCTCTAAACTTAATACTCGCTACGGATAACGGTAAATCATTTCAATTGTGAGAGAGACTAGAGCACAAAAGATAGGCTTTTGTAGAACAGTGAAGAAGTTAGTACGACTTCCACTAATCGACAACTTCCTGAAGGGAAAGCACTCTAACTTCAAGTCTATATAAGGGATATTTTATTTTTGCTCGCCAATGATCAGTCGTGATGTAGATGATACCAAAGGGGAGATCATATATATTAGGTGAAATTAAATGTCGAACTGTCACACTGTTCAATAGAGAATTCATTTAAAAGTTAAGATATGTTGTTAATGTTGCGAGGTAATCCATCTGTATATATATTATTTTGGACATAGGGGGAAAAAAAGAGGAAAACAGTAAGTCTTCAACATAAAGCAGAATGTTTTACATTCATTGCTCATTTATGATTTTTTGTTTTGTTTTTTATCTTGTTTATTTTTTTGTCAAATACGATATGTTTATTACATTTAGATAAACACTTAAAACTCTTCAAATGTCCAAGAAACCCCAGCGTCATATATATACGTTACCTACTCTATAAGGTGTAGGACCGATCAGCTGACATTTTCAAGAAGCAAAGCTCATTCCAACACAATAATAATAATAAATTACCTTTTCAATGATTAATGTTTGATCGGTGATTTATCGTCTTATAAAAAATACTTTAACACTCTAACCGCCATGATTCAAACATCTATATTTACACGCAAAAACTACATGAGCGGTTAACCGACTATGGATTCTTTTAGCTCTACACACGTCTAACTTATAAATATATCATATACAACATAGAATTTTCAAAATTCAAATATTAACTATAATTTTTACTTATTCATGACTCCTCGTCCAGTTTCTTACAAAATCTTTATATGCTCTGCTTAAACCTACGGAATCTGTACTGGTTCTATTTAAACCCTTTACCAGGTTCTTACGAAATATGTGTCGGTTCTATTTAAACCCTTTACCAGGTTCTTACGAAATATGTGTCGGTTCTATTTAAACCCTCTACCAGGTTCTTACGGAATATGTGCCGGTTCTATTTAAACCCTCTACCAGGTTCTTACGGAATATGTGCTGGTTCTATTTAAACTCTCTACCAGGTTCTTACGGAATCTGTGCCGGTTCTATTTAAACCCTCTACCAGGTTCTTACGGAATCTGTACCGGTTCTATTTAAACCCTCTACCAGGTTCTTATGGAATTTGTGCCGGTTCTATTTAAACCCTCTACCAGGTTCTTATGGAATTTGTACCGGTTTCACCATAAGATGGCATACATCATCCTTTGATCCATCATTCCGATTAAGTGAATACTATTTACTATAAATGTGTAAATATATCGCCTAACCGTTTACATCCAGAATTTTGTTAAATAACGTAATTTACTAAATGAAAATCACTTAACTTTTAAATTACTAATTATAAATTCTACGATGTTTTGGACAATAACTTCCTAATTTTCCCACCTTTGATGAAATGAGACACTTTTAATCAACCTTAAAGAGACAATGTACTGACATGACGAATCTTTTTATAGAACTGCTGTAGTAGGAATCCTGCCAAAAACATGGCATATTTTTTCCAGAAGATTGCCCTCCTCGTGTGAACGTGTGACACCATTTCTAGCAGTACATGTTGTACACACCACACTCTCCCCAGGAAAATCGTGTCTACCTGTGTTTACCTGTAGAACAGCTGATCCGTCGGTAATTTCATTACACGGTAAAATATTAATTTAGCTACGGACATCAAATCCCTTTTCCGATATCATGTTTCTTGTTTTCATTGGGTTAGAAGCCATAGGAACTTCCACAGATCGACATTCATGAATTATTGCTGAATATCCAAGTCTTCTCAATACAATTGTCCCGCAAACATATTCTCCAACTTCCGTCTAAAACAGGTAATACTAGCTGTATAACACACAGGTACGATATTCAATCAGCAATTCGCAGAAATAGGTGATGAATAGAAGACATAGACGCCACAAATACTGGCGATGTCAACTTAAAAGTTCAGTAGTGATTGCAAAGCGGTTTGTAGTTTACTTCGATTTCGTATTCTGGGTATTTTGAGTATGACAGGAAGAGACTAGTGAGGAAAATGTACCATAAACATGAATATGGCGATAGTCAACAGAATGCCTGGTGATTTCGTTGTTGTTTTCTTTGTTTCATTTGGGAACGTGACATTGTTTACTTGTATTCGCCAATATTTACATGACGGGTGTCGATGAAGTTTAAGACGCTTACTCATACGGAACACATGGTCTTATATTCCTTATATTTAACATAGGTCTTTCCTTTGTTCATATTTTGCCCTCGTTTCATCGAATTTTTGTTTGAGATTAAATTTTGTTGACATGTTGGTATCTATCTTTGTTGTAGCAGGTTAGCTACAATCTTGTTCATTTGTTTTCTTATTGTGTAACATTTATTTCAATTCATGTATGATAGTGGAGAAACAGATATAATGGACCGTTTAATACTTTGTGCGTGCATCTTGAAGCAAAAAAAAGCAAAAACCAAAAATTATAGAAAAGAAACAGTTGGCAGCCTTTGGATCTTAAAATATACAATGTTTAACGCCTATCGTACCTTAGAGCGTATTCCCTGAAGGTAAGAACTCAGTAAAGTCACGTGACTAACTCCGATACCATGCCTAGTGCTTCCCACCTTTCCAACACCTTCATCATTCCGTATTCAGGTGTCGGTTACGGCACGCGCACTAGTTCCTACACGCGAAGCACGTCACGGGTGCATTACCTTCGTGTGGCCGTGAGAAAAACAGATATTATTATCAAGAAAATTCATTAAAAATTCGTGAATAACATTTCCCGTCCAACCATTCTTTATAGAATTGATTCTCCCATCTGATTGAATTTAAATAAGCATTAATCAGTGGATACACCCGCTAAGTTTTGTTTTCATTTTTCGTTACAAATTTCAAGTTGTACAGTTTCATTATTTGTTTCAAAACGACGACTTCCGGTTTTAAATATATATATAAACACATTATGCTAGTGATTGACTTCCGGTTGCGAATCCCTTTTTAACAAGTAATGAGTATACACTAAATGAGCTTTTAACTTCCGGTGATTGCATAACACGTGATTTGAACTGAGAGTAATAAATACCAACAACCGGATATGACGATTATTAGGATTTTTTCCTCTGTTAGTGTTATCGTGAGAACACTGTAGTCTGATGTCTATGTATTGTAAAATTTGGGACACCTGTCTTTTTTCTCTGTTCTACTCTCTAGTTCCCCGTGTTTTCTCCACGATTACATCCTGTTAACCTGTGTTTGGAAAAATGCCTCATGCTTCTTTTCCCCCCAGTTATCTCGTGATTTCTAACCTGTCCATGAAAATGTCTTGAACCTTTACAGTGGGTTTGTGCATTTGTTTTTTGTGCCGTACAGATTGATCAAATTCTCCAATTTAGTCTCTGATCAATGTTCATTTTGTTAGCAATACAATTTGTTTTTTGATTACCAGGAAACAGAAATATTAGGAAACCTTTTTATATTGAACTGGCGCTTCAAACTGACATATCTTTGTTCAAACTGAAATGAATAGTACATGTCTTTCAACCTTCCATGTCACTTTCCCTTCAAGTACTGACTTTGAAAAATTTTTTAGAAATAATCGTAAGAAAGAATTATAAAGAATTTTTCATCTAACTGTTCCTGTAGCGAACAAAGTAAATATAATTATTTTACGGAAAGTCATCGCGGCATTATTCTAATAAATCCTTAAATATTTGTTGTAGATGTTTTAATCGTGGTGGTCGGAAGTGCACGACGGAGAGGAATCCTGTTGTGGACTATCTACGTTAAATGATGGATAGAACGGGAGATGGATGACCATCCCACTCTTGTCACCATCCGTCCATCTCACCAATATGCTCAATATTGATATCGCGCTCTGACAACACTTCGGAAGCTGTGATGGATCTATCCTGTGATCTGCTAATAGTGGCCACGTCTTTTAGATAGTTTTCAGTCCCAGACGATCTGCCGAACACTGCACGTACTTTCTAATACTATGTTGGATATTCGCAATAGACCGGAAGTGCGTTTTGCTGTAGAATTCCTTGGTTTTCAAGCAAATGATGACTGAAACTTTTCTGTTTTGGACACGTGATGCCTTTTTGTGAGATGACTTCGGTACAGGACAATGTTTTTGCGTTTCATTCGATGCCAAGCGATATGTTGGTTGTCTTTGCGGATTCTGCCCATCTCCACTCCCCTTGGCCGGACTTCTCCTTCAGTGTCTGTGTTCCGGCTATTTCGTTACTCGATCGTAACCTATGGACAACACTGATGTGTTTGCAGATCGCTACTCTTAACTTTCGTTCGGTTTTTTCACAAGTATTTAACTCACTTCTAGATCTTATAACTACATATCTCCGATCACTGCCAAGTTTGCATTATTTGCTCTACAAATATGTGTGTTGTTATCTGGAATTTTAATTCAAGCGAACTTTTTTCTCGGGTGGTTGAGACTTTTGTTTAGTAGTATTCGGCTGAAACCTTACTTCCTGTTACAAGCGAAATATGTACGGTATGACGAAATCTACTCTGTTCAGTAAGTTTTCAACAGAAAGATTCGTCAGTTTTTTTGGGTTTTTTTCTTCGACGCAAAAATGAGGATTAAAAGCTATTTGTGTTTTTTTGGGGGGATTGATGTTTCAAATTACAATTTTTTTCGTGATTCAAGAAGGAAATCGGGTCAGATTCCGTATGGAATTCGGGAAGTTACATACACGATAAAAAATCTAAACGTTTAATCCATGAGAATGAGATTCAGCTACCTTACTCGTCTGTTTCTAACAACGTAGAATTTACATCAGATCCATTCAAACCGACATTGTCTTTAGTGGATCGCTCCGACTGTTTGTTCGAGGGTATTTTTCTCTCTCTCTCTCTCTCTCTCTCTCTCTCTCTCTCTCTCTCTCTCTCTCTCTCTCTCTCTCTCTCTCTCTCTCTCTCTCTCTCTCTCTCTCCTGCTCTATCTCTCCCTCTCTTCTCCGTTGGATTTCTGTCCTGGAGATAGTACTTTATATGAATAATATTAGGACTATGTCGAGCAGGCGATGTTTCGTGTGTATGACCGTAACGAAAGGTATTTGCATCAAGTCCGTTACAACATATATTGCTCGGGGCAGTTCGTTAAAAAGGAATGGCTCAGGTGAATCGCCCGCAGGTAGGCCTGGCGATTTCTGGCGGTATTTAATACACTCATCCGAGCCGAAAAGTGACACGAGTATAAATTTCAGCTGTATAATAAATGGTCTGTCAACTGTTAATGAATGAGAATGACAATATGAACTCATTTTGCACCTGTTTATAACATCCCCGAGTCGTTCTTGTTTCCCGGTAGATATGTAGGTAATACCTTAATACTAAATACACAGCTGTATGTATGTGTACATCACATAACTATCTACATCATATATATATACAAGTATGTATACCAGTTTATACATATATACCATAGAACAACATTTCTCTTTAACTATTTGTTTGATACAGCATTTAAATATTGAAAAAAAAAATTAAATATACGGAACGTACATCACGTTCCTGGTCTGTCAAACGATAGTTCATATCTTGATGGAGATGTTACTGTGGTTTGATCTTCTGGTATCATTGAAGGTTAAAACTATGACAAAAACAACGATAGCACGGGTCTGAAAAAGTCATAATATATTGTATGTAAGTCCTAGTTATATTACAGACAAAGACATGTAAAACAGGTCGTCTGTTTCAGTAAAAAAAAGCCATATTTTTCGATTATCTTCCATATCTTGTGTTTGCTGTAAAAAACATCAACACATATCAAATGTTTTCCTGAGTCAGATAATTTATCGAATCCATTTACTCTAATCGATGTTTCATTTTTTTCTATTAAACAATCACTATATCGTACAAAGTATTTTCAAATTAAGGGGCAAAACGCGTCAGCTGTCTTTTTGGGGAGTTTTCCTGCTTTTTTGTTTTGTTTTTTGTTTCTTGTATTTTTTACTTTTTTGTTATTGTTTTTTGTTTTGTTTTGCTTTATTTTCCCTCTCTTCGTGTTTTTTTTAAGTTTTCATATAAAACCGCCTGTGATATTTATATATTTAATTAATACGTATTTTTGATATTATTTGTCGAATCTACATTCGTTTAAGGATACTTCCAACCCTACTTTAAATGAAATTCTAGGTAACAATAATGTTGAGTAAATCTATCTTTAGCTTTATTTATGATATATGGATATCAGTCTGCCTGAATAATTATCAGACAACTGCGAAAAAAAACTGACAATCAATTGCTTGAAAGTACAAGTATTTGAAAACGCTATTCCGGATTACAATTTAAAACCCTGTGAAAATACCGGTGATCTTGTGGCTGAAAATTTTCAAGGATGACACACGGAAAAGTAGCAACTTGAGCGTCAGTCAGAGTGAGGCTGATTTTGAGGGCATGCATGTGCTACGTGATAATAGTAAGATGTGTTCATTGCCTTTGATTAAACTTGCTTGATTTAGGTTGATAGCCATCACGTTCAGATCTCCGGCCCTAAGAACTACATAATGTGGATTTTCTGTCACGCTAAATCACCAACTGACCACTCGACTGTTCGGACGGTGTGATACGTAAATTCTCGTCATATAATCGGGTTTAAAACGTCCAGCATGACATTTAGTGTGATCCGAACACATAACACGACAGCAAATACAACACATTTACTACAAAAGGGACAGAAAATATATTTACTACAAGAAACAGAGTACAAGAGAACGAGAGCGCATTTAGTACAACGGAAATGGAATTCATTTTGTACAATGCAAATACAGCGCATTTAGCAATACGGAGACAGCACAATCAATGTACCGAAAAAAAGTCACATTTTTTTTGGACGAAGATACGGATATTGTAAAACGGAATGCATTGTTGTGCTAATTCTGTAAAAAAGAAAGATAACGTTTTATCATGATTGTTTGTACTTATGGTTTGCATTTAGAATTCGGAAACTAAAGCCCAAAACGGACGCAGTTTGAGCCGGTATTTAATAAGTTTCTTGGAAATACGAAACATTTATTAAAATGAAAAAAAAAAAATCATTTCTTATATATAGTTTTTTATGTAGTTAGAATAGCAGGTAACATGTATTGAATGCCTTTTGGAAACGCAGAATTATAATGAATTTGTGTAATCATCTCAAGGCTTACCAACAACATCTGCTCCGAATATTCTTGAAAATTAATCATTTTATTATTATTATTATCATTTCGTTAAGGGAATGTTGACTTTAAAAGAGACAACTATTGCAAAAACAGTAAGGTTGTAAACTTCGTGAACATTTCAAAATGTTTGTAACCAAATATTGCAAAACCAACCCGTTTAGGTTTCCAAGAAACATTTTAGTATTATATTTCATATGCGACCATCATAAAGCTGTTGGAGATTTATGTTAAGATCACGTTGGTTAAGAGTATGTTTCTAAACGCTCAATTCAGAATTTTTTTTATGTAAGAGCAAACAATAAATAACGACTAAACATTCAGGTTAGGTCTCAAGGAATGTTGATTTGTAAGACGGAAATCTTTCAAGTTCCATGAATCGATACTTTGAGGAATTATTCGACATGCTTGACCTTTATGACAATACAGAATTTTATTTTGACCTTTTCATAAAGTTTCCATTTCATTTCTAAATAGGATCGAGTAAATTTTCAAGGTAAACAATTTTAATTGATTCAACTTATTTCTTTAAAAAATAATTTACGTCCACGTGTGGCCCCGGTTTTGATAGCAGATAGAAATCTCTTTTTGACTCTGTTAAATTCTCTTTTTTAGTATAAAATAATTTTGAAATTCTTTTAAACTATGATTACGTATCTGTTTACGGTAACCCTAGATGGACCGGCGTTTTAGGGTGGTGGTACGCAACTGTACCAGTGTTCATATCTGAACAGTCTTAGTGAGTTCGCCAATTATGTAAGCTGTTTTATTATCCTACATCTCCTTGTTCCCGGAGACGAGAAAAAACATTGTCTGTGTAAATATAGGACAGGATTAGTGCCATGAAAATACTCCACAGAGAACATATATATGTAAATATCGTAATTTTCAGAGTAACGCTTGATGTATGAGACAGATTAATGCTCCGGTGTTAATTTCGACCGGTGTACATTTCCAGTTGCGTTTTTCACTTGTTCATTTCCATCAATGCGTAGAACTTGTCTCATTATATTTTTTTCTGTATTTTTTCTTTGCATTCTTTTCACGGCAATACAAAGTTCTTAATTTAACTCATAACAAAGGTAGTTGTAGTATTTTAACCCCGCTTTTTCTGTCAACGTCGACACGAAAGGACACGAAGGCCCACCCACCTATTTTGAGGCCTTTGTATAAAAGATAAACTCTGCAGTTCATATGATTCAATTCTATCGAGCCAATTAAGTGAAGAGTCGTCAGCTGGTTCTCCCTGCTCATTACACTTTGTGTTTGCTACTAAGGGTCCTATGGTTCATTATTATAACACGCAATGCCATAAGCGGCGCGTTCGATTCAGTCTCGTCGCATGGTCATTTTGAGGTGAAAGTTCTCAACATGAAGCTTGAGACAGGTTTGCAGTTAAAAGCCCGAATACCACCCGGTTTGTCTATGTTATGTGTATGTGAGGAGAAGGAGAGTTTAATGGATATAAATTAACTCGATTTTTAATAGTGGTACTGGCATATCTCATAACTCATTTGTAATTATTTGTAAGTAAATTATTTGCCTTTATTAGTCTTTATTTATTGACAAGAAAACATAACAAGTCATTAAATATCACACAAACAACGACTGAAAATTAATAGCTGTAAATTCTATAGTGCCCATCTTTGATTTATCGTCTGCATTTTTAGGGCATGGCACTATTCACTAGTTTGTGTAAGTGTCAAACGCACAAATGATACTCATAACCTTAGGGGCGTTCGACTTACAGTCCCCTCGGGTACGAAATGACTCACCCGAAAGGACCTATTAACCGTAATTTAGCCATAACGAATGTTTAGGCCATGATAGCTGTTATGTAAGTGTAGGTAATATATTTATATACGTTTTGTTCATAAAAAAACTCAATTAAGAAAAAGTGACAGTTCGTTATGTAAACTTTGAGCGTAGCAATCCGATGCCTACATTGGAAGCATCCGTATGATATGACAAATATTTTAATCACATAACATAGTCGGCATTATTCTACGGTACATAAAAAATAACTCAAAATTCAAATCAAGTCAAGATGATCTACACCTCATGATGTTTAAAGAAATTCACTAATATTTACAAATATATGACAGACTACAAATCATAAATTTTACAACATATAATAAAATTTTAGTCAAATATTTTTATTGGTGTGTATCTATATATGTAAATATAGCATCCTTTTATTTATCAACAATCTTGAGGGCACGGACGATACTTGTATGACTAAGATTGGTTTCCTACATTCTTTACA